ATGTTTTCGGCTTTCTCGCCTTTTCGCTTCTGGTCGGCTCAGGGGGCGGTGAGATGACCCCAGGATGGCCGCAGAGAGGCGCAAACCGAGGCCCACAGAGACCCAAGGCTGGCCGAAGAAGGCCCGAATAATTGAAAGTCAAGGAACACCCATTGGGAAATCAGTGTTTCTGGCCTTCTCGCGAGCGTCGGGGGCGTCAAGATAGCCTCAGGACGGCTCCGAATGAGTCCCCAGACGAGCCCCAACTGTCTCTGTCTACTCTCCCTCTCTGTCTGTCTGTCTGTCTGTCTGTCTGTCTGTCTGTCTGTCTGTCTGTCTGTCTGTCTGTCTGTCTGTCTGTCTGTCTGTCTGTCTGTCTGTCCTGTCTGTCTGTCTGTCTGTCTGTCTGTCTGTCTGTCTGTCTGTCTGTCTGTCTGTCTGTCTGTCTGTCTGTCTGTCTGTCTGTCTGTCGTCTGTCTGTCTGTCTGTCTGTCTGTCTGTCTGTCTGTCTGTCTGTCTGTCTGTCTGTCTGTCTGTCTGTCTGTCTGTCTGTCTTTTTTTTTTTCTCTCTCTCTCTCTCTCTCTCTTTCTCTTGTCTCTTTATCGCACTCTCCCTGTCTGTCCTTCTCTCTCTCTGTCCCCTCCCTCCTCCGCGCCCCCCCCTCCTCCCTCGCTACCCCGCCCCCCGGCCTCCCGATGTCGCTCTGCCCTCTCTCGTCTGGCGCATCCCGCCCCCCCTCGCTCCCTCCGCACCTCTCTGCCGCGCAGCCGTTTCGCCGCGAATCCGGCCCTTTGAGACACAAAACCGACAACATAAATCTCCGAGGATGGAGGGAAAAAGCAGGGGGAGGTACAGAACGGGAGCGCATAGGACAGGCCGCGAGGCGCGGCGGCCCACGAGCGGCCCCAGCCAGACGCTGGCCCCGACACAGACGAGGATTAGCGGCCATCCTCGGAGCGGACCGCCTGCATGGCGCGCGTATGCGTCGCTCATAGAAGACCGGGAACGAGCTTGCGAAAGGCGCGAGAGACACGGAGAAATGAGACACCAGGACCCGACACGTCCGAAGTTGAGGCGGCCTCTTAGCTGAGGTAGATAAACACTTTCCACCACCTGTATCCCGTCCATCGGATAGCCTATGAAGCCAATACCGATTACCTGGACGCAAAGGGACGTCTCAAGCTCTTTTCTACGAATATCTGAGGTCCTTCTACCGCGCGCCCTCCTCAAACTCCCATCCCCTTATTGCCTCCTCCCTTCCCCCTCCTCCCTCCTGCTCCTTCTCCTCCTCCTCCTCCTCCTCCTCCTCCATTCCTCCCTCACGCCTCCTCCTCCCTTCTCCTCCCTCCTCCTCCCTCCTCCTCCCTTCTCCTCCCTCCTCCTCCTCCTCCTCTTTCTCCCCCCCCCTTCCATCCTCTCCCTCCATCTCTTGTCCTTATAGGCACCCCCTCCTTGTCGCACCCCCCGACGTGTCGGTAGGGCGGGCTGGGCGTTTCGCCTGAGATTTCCTCACCGTTTATGATCCTGAAATTTGAAATTTGCAACAGCTTCACGGATGGAGGGCGGGTGGTTTCCAAAATGCGGTTCTCGTTTTAGCGCCGCGCACGCTCGCCACCTCAAGTTTGCAACAGTTTCAACCATGGAGGGCGGGTCGGCTTCGAAATGCGGCTCTCGCCCTGGCGCCGCGCACATACGTTTCAAAAGTTTGCAGCGGTTTGCAGGATGGAGGGGCCACCATTTTCCAAATGTGGTTTTTGGAAATGCAGCAGGTTCACGGATGGAGGGTGGCTTCTTTTCAAAGTATGGTTCTCGCTTTAGCGCCGCGGACGTTCGCCTGAAAGAGCGCGCGGCAGTTTCAAGTATACGTATTGTTGAATTTCCAGGAAGGGTATTCTGGCACGGTTAAGGATGGTGAGGACGCAACAGTCACATTGATTCGTGGTGTTGAAGTCCCAGCAGCAGTGTTTTGGCACGATGTAGGGTTGTCAGGGCGCAGCAGTCACGTTGATTCGCAGCGCGAAGTCCCAGGAATTGCGTTCTGGCATGTCCTGGCACCATTGAGGGTTCTCAGACGGTTCTCTTCCAATGGGACATTTCCCGCAATGATATATGTATGTGTTGCAGTGGCCCGTGAAGGGGGAACTAGGAGGGAGGGTTGATTGCAACATCGTTGATGCGTCGTGGGTTTACATTGGACCTCCTTGTCATCGTCCTCCATCATCCGTCCTCCTGCTCCACTCTTCTCCTCCTCTTCTTCCTCCTCCTCTTCCTCCTCGACGCCGATTCCCCCGACGCCCTCCTCCGTCTTCCTCCGTCCTCTCCTCCGTCCTCCTCCGTCCCCTCGCCCGTCCCCTCCTCCGCCCTCCTCCTCCCTTTCCTCCTCCTCTTCCTCCTCCTTCTCCTCCTCCTCCCCCTCCTCCCCCTCCTCCTCCTCCTCCTCTTCCTCCTCCTCCTCTTCCTCCTACTCCCCCATGGCGCCGACGACGACAACGACGATGCTGGCGGCGGCGACGCCGGCGACGCCTGCAACGACGCCGTCTGGCGGCGGCGACGCCAGCGACGCCGTCTGGCGGCGACGCGGCGACGCCGCCAGCGACACGGCGTCGTCGCCTCTTCGAGGTTCGAAGAGGAGGAGGGGGAGGAGGAGGAGGAGGAGGAGGAGGAGGAGAAGGAGGAGGACCAGTGTAATTCCAAGACTCATTAACGATGTTGGAATGCACTCTCCCTCCAAGCTCCCTCTTCATAGGCCCCTACAAGGGTTCATTTTCACTACGGAAATTGCCCCGTCGGGGGACACCCGTGTGACAATCCTGAAGCGTGCCACAATACCGTTCTCATGATTTCAACGCCACGAGTTAACGTGAATGTTGCGTCTTGGCGATCCTGAACCGCGCCAGAACATTATTCCTGGGATGTCAACACCGCGAATCAACGTAACTGTTGCGCCCTGGCGACGATTCCGTGAAACTCTCGCATGTTTTAGAACGAATGCGCGCGGCGCTAAGGCGAAAGTCACATTTTGATAAGCAACCGCCTTCAGTCTGTTAAACGATTACAGAGATGTAAAGCGAATGTGCGCGGCGCTAAAAGGCGAGAGCCACACTTTGAGAACCACCCGCCGTCAATCCGTGAAACCCTTGCAACAATTTAGAACGAATGTACGCGGCGCTGAGGCGAGAGCCACATTTTGAAAACCACTCGCCCTCAATCCGTGAAACTCTTGCAAATGTTTTAAACGAATGCGCGCGGCGCTAAGGTGAGAATCGCATGTTGAAAACCACTCGCCCTTCATGTGTGCAACTGTTGCGAGTTGTTAAGCTTCAGGCTCATAAGCGGTAAGGACGTCTCAGGCGAAATCCCGGCCCGCCCTTCCGACTGGCCTCGGGGTGCGAAAGGGAGGAGCTATTCACCAGGGAAAAGAATTGAGGAGACGGAGGAGGAAGAGGAGGAGGAGGAGGAGGAGGAGGAAGGAATAGGAGGCAAGGGGTGCCAGCCAGCCGTGGTTTGCGGCGTTGTCGTTGTCGGCGGAGGCGTCGGGGGCGTCGGGGGAGTCGGCGTCGAGGAGGAGGAGGAGGAGGAGGAGGAGGAGGAGGACCCAGCGGATAGAAAACCTCCAGAGTGGAGGTTGTTCTTCCATTCTGGCGGCTTCATTCCTCCGTTGCGGAGGTTTTGTTTATTTCTCCCGGATGGAGGTCCGACCTCCGAAATGAGGGTTTTCGACATTATGCCGTTGACCCCGGAGACACATCAACACACACACACATAAATTTTCGGAGGTCATCGCTGATTTCTTGGATCGGCGCTGGCTTTCCAAAACTTTGCTCATCTGGCTCTCTTTCCTCAAATATCTAGAGGCGCGTTCTGACCGCGCTTTCGCAGCGAATCCACCCTGGCGACGATGGATCTCCAAGACGACCATGGGCATCGGTACCTTCTCGTCTTCCCACGTGCATTCTGCTGGGATGGCCCCAACCCGCAAACGCCCAGCGGCCGCTTCGGATGGCCCCGCCAAACGGCACGCTGCTGCTGCTGACGGCGAGGGGGCAGGCAAACTCGCGCGTCGTGTTCGTCGCCCCCCAATGCGATTCAAAACTGCCTTGAGACGCCCCCCAATGCGACCCCAAGACGGCCCAAGGCGGCCCCAAGACGGCGCCAAGACGGCCACAACATTGACGCGCGGGCTGGTCGGCAAGGGCATGAATGGCTCCTGCCATGATTCGCCGCGACCACGGTGGGGGCGTTCGTTAAAGAATGTGCCCAGGAGGCTTCTGACCATGGAAGGCTCCTTATCTGATGAGGGCGGCTGTGATATCCATGGCCACCCTATGAGATCGGAGTTCCCCTGGCTTCCAGACCCTGGATCCCTTGCCCAACTGTTCCTAATCCAGTGCCCTCGCAATCCGTAGCCGCTTTGGCTCAAGATGCCAAGTTCCCGCGGGTTCCAAGTGGATACCGCTGGGCCGCGGCATGCGAGAAAGTTCTGCTTGCCACCCCTGGGCCGTGTGCCTGCGGGACGGCGGCTCCTGCGAGCGGCGTTGCTGGCTCTGGCGCTCGTGGCGACGGCTCCTACTGGATCTGCCTGAGCCGCGCCTGCGGGCAGTTGAGCTACTGCACCCGAGGGCGATGTTTCGGCTGCCAGGCCAAGGCACTTCCGTGGGCGGTCATGCGCGGGGCCAGCCAACCCGTGGTCGACGCCGACAGCTGGGTCCAGGCTGGCACGAGCAAACGAGGGCGTCGCAAGGCACGCGCCGCGGCCGGGGCAGCGGGTGCCGCTGGCGCCCCAGGCGAAGGCGCCGCCGACGCCCCCAGCCCCACGCCCGCCGCCGCAGCCAAGTCCCGCCTGGAGAAGCTGCAGAGGGCCATCGAGAACCTCGGGGCCTTCCCCAGCTTTGACGGCGGCGGCGACGAGTTCGCGGCAGAGCGGCTGGCAGCCCTGCGAGCCCAGCGCGGCGAGGCGGCGGCGGCGCGGGCGGCCGACGAGGAGGCGGGCCTGTCGCGAGCGGCCAGGCTTCGCAGGGAGGCGAACTCCGCCAGCAAGACCGAGCGGAAGGCGGCGGGGGCAAGGGGGGCCCTCGGCGACGCCACCGCAACGGTGGAAGCAGAGGCGGCCCTGCAGAAGGCGCACGCCAAGCTGGAGCAGGCGGAGCAGCGCAAGCAGGAGGCGCACCCTGGAGGCCAGAGCGGCCGAGGCGCGGGCCAGCCAGGAACTGCAGCAGGTGTCGGAGGGCGACCTGGAAGCCATGCGCGGGCTCCTCCTCCAGCTGCGGAGGCTGCCGACGGCCCGCCCGGCGGGCAACTTCGCCAGGGCATGGGAGCTCACGATGGAGCAGCTGCAGGCGGTGGATGAGATGTTCGCCCCGCAGGAGCCCGCAGCCCCGAAACGGCCTCGGGCGCGATGGGGGGGCTGCTGCCCCGTCGACGGAGGGGCCGTCGCCTCCGACTCGGACGCCGACCTGGAGCTGGACAGCCAGCCTGCCGCGGAGCGCGGTCAGGCGGGGCGCCGCCCTGCCGCAGCTGGCCCTCGGCCACGGGTCGCGCCAAGCGCTGTCCAGGAACTGGCGGCGGCGGCGGCCGACGCGGGCCCGCTGGCGACGCTGGCCAGCAGTGGCGCCGAAGCTGGAGGCGGCGCCCAGCGGCAACTGTAGCCCGGTAGGCGCAGGACCTAGGGCGGGAACGCGGCCGCTGGCCCTGGCAGAGCTGGCGCCGCTCGAGCTGAGGCTGGCGAGCACCGTCACCATCGACGGCTCCTCGTGGGCTCTGGCGCAGACGGCCATGGAGCATATGTTGGACGCAGGAGCCCAGGGCGACTTGTTTCTGCTGCAGGAGACCAAGTTCACGTCCGAGCGGGCGACGGGCTCGGCGCGCGGCCGGCGCAGCAGCGACGGGCTCCAGGCGGCGCTAGGCCCATGCAGGCGCACTGGGCGCAAGGCGCACTCGGGCGCGGCCACCCTGGCGGCCCAGTCCCGAGGAGTGGCGCAGCTAGCGCATGCCTTGGGGTGCGCGCGCTTCCAGGATTCTGGCGCGCAGGGCTGCCATCGTAGACCTGGTGGCGGTGGTGGTTGTCAGCGTCCACATCGAGCATTCGACCAGGCTTGGGCGGGGTCAAACCTGGAGCTGCTCGGCGCCCTGCAGGAGTTCCTGAACGAGCTGAAGGGGGCCCTTTGTCGTCGGAGGCGATTGGAACCTCGAGCCGCAGGTGCTGGCGGGCTCGCGGTGGCCGCGGGCGATTGGCGGAGCAGCGCCGGGGCCCCAGCAGCCGACCTGCCAGGACAAGAAGTATAACCTCTTCGTGGTTTCGGCCGAGGCGTTTCGACGTCGAGGCGACGATGGCGCCTGAGGCGCGCGAGGGCCAAGAGCGAGGAGGCGGCGGCGGCCCTGCAGTGGGCAGCCCCGCTCCAGGGCGGGCGCGGCCTCCGCGACGCCGCGGCGCGCGCGGTCTGCGGCGCGGCGGTGCAGCACCTGGTCAGCTTCTTGGAGGTCGAGACTGGCTGCCCCCAGTGTCGCGGAAAGGCGCCGAAGTGTCCGCGGGGTCCAGAAAAGCTTGAAGGGCCTCCAGCGGGTGGAGACGGCGCGCAAGGTGAGCCCCCTCACGCGCCATTGGATCTCGCTGGGGAGGCTCGCGCGGCAGCTCGCCTCGGCGGCGGCGGTGCTGGTGCCGCCGTCTGGACATCGGGACTACATTCGACACCTGTGGGATGCCGCCCTCTCGCTGGTGCCGAGCTTCACTCAGTAAGGCTGCTCGATGTTCACGGGCCCGAACATGCGGCCCCTGCTGGAGGAAGTGAAAGCGTCTACCTCCAAATCGGACGGGTGGTCAATGTGATCGACGAGGCGGCTGGGCCCGGCAGAGGCTCGAGGCGCGTCTTGGCGCGCCAGATCTCGCGGGGTGGTGGCCATGCTGAGGGGCGAGGGGCTGCCCATCAACTGGAGCAAGACGAAGGTGCTCGCCTCGTCAGCTGACCTGCAGCGCGACCTCGTGGGCCAGGCCGGATGGCCATTGCCAGCAGGCGCCTTCGCGACGGGCCATCGCGACCTGGGCGGCGATGCGACTGCTGGAGGCCGTCGCCGCGTGACTCCGTAGATGGCCAGAGAGCTGGCCGCCCTCCGCCAAGCGGCGCGCCTGACCCGCATCTTCGGCCCCGGGCTGCGGCAAGCTCGGGTGACGCGGGCAGGGCCGACGGCCGAGGCCCTGTGGAGGTCGCCGACCTCGGGCGCGCCGCGGGGGCGCATGCGGGCGCTCCGCGTGGCGGCGGCCGCGAGCGCTGGGAGGCCGCCGCCAGGCGCGGCGCTGAGCTTCGCGCTGCAGTGCGCGCCCCGAGGCTGGAGGCAGGACCCGCTGGCAATCGCTATTGGAATGGCAGCCCAGGCTTTCGGCGGGGCAACCTGGGCCCGACAGGCCTGGCCAGCTGCTGTCAGGCGTGCCTGGAGGAGAGCGGGCGCCTGGCGAGCTGCCAGAGGCTTTGGGCTGCAGCGAAGGGCCCCATCTCGGCGCTGGTGCTCACCTTGAAACGCATCGGGTGGCAGGTCACCGCCGACGGCGCCGGCCTGCGGGGCGAGCTGGGCTGCGAGTTCGAGGCGCGCTGCTTCTCGCCCGCCTTCCTGGCGGAGCGCGCTCGCGAGACGACCGGGAAGGCAGCGGCGCTGGGGGAGGCTCGAGCGCGGCCCGGCCCCGTCTGGCCGCGGCGGTCGCCGCCCGCCATCCACGCGGTCCCGTGCAGGGCCGCGACGGAGACCTGGACCAGCCACCACAAGGGCTGCTTGCGCAGGCTGGTCTCCCTGGCGCATTGGCCCCGAGCCAAGCTAGCCGGGCGCAAGGAAGGCATCGGCCCCGCTTGCCTCCTGCGCCAGGCTGGCGAAGGCACGGTCTTCCACAGGCACTTCGAGCGCCATGCCTGGCAGGCCTGGCGGCACGACAGGCCGCCGCCCGACTTGCAGCAGGCGGCGGCGGCGGCGAGCAGCATGCGCCCGCCGTTCGGCGCGCTGTTCGCCCGGGCCTCTTTCGTCGACGGGCCAGCGCTCGCCCAGCGGCCGCGATGGCAGCGGGGCTGGGGGCGGCGCCAAGCCCGCTGGGAGACCCCCCTGGTGGTGGTGTCAGAGGGCGCGCTGGTCTTCACCGACGGCCCCTGCATCCGCGGGACCTTCCCCGCGCTGAGGTGCGCTGGCTGGGCCGTCATCGTGATGTCGGTAGAAGGTCGCGTACTAGCTCAGGCCTGGGGAGCTGTTCTCCCGCGCGAGCTCCCATCGCAGTCTGCGGGGTCGGGAGAGGACTATACGCGGCGGTGGCGGCCTTCGCGCAGATCGCTGGCAACTACGAGATCCGCAGCGACTGCAAGGGGTCGGTTGACGCCATGCGAGATGTCCAATGAGCTCAGGGCCCCACCCCCCTGCATGCCCGCGCGCGGGCCCGCGCGGGCGACGCGGCGGAGGGGGTTGCGGCCAGGCGCATTCCAGCGCGCCCGTCCGAGGAGGTGGTCAGGCGCAGCGAGATCACTGCCATGGAGCGCGATGGGAATCGCCTGGCTGACCAGCGGGCCAAGGAAAGGGCACCCCTTCAGGCCCCAGATGACGACGGGGCGCTGGTGCTGGAGGACCTTCTGGCGCGGGCCCGCGACGCGGCTCGGTTTGCAGCGGAGATCGAGGTCTGCATCTTCGACGCGGGCGCCCGCGACTGCTGGCCCACCGAGGCCCTCGGGGACCTGGACTTCGAGCTCCCCGAGTTCGACTTCGGCGAGCCGAGCACCTCCGCATTGGGTTCCGATGGCTTGGCGGCGGCGGCGGGGCTGGCAGCGGCGGCGGCAGCGGCGGCCTCCAGCTCGGCCCCTAGCGCCGCAGGCGGAGGCGCGGCGCACAGCAGCTCCAGCGGCTCGACGGCTCGCAAGACGCTTGCGGCCTGCATGCAGCCCGCGCTGGACGGCGACGAGGGGGCGACCACTGGCGACGCTGAGGATGGCGACTCTCGGCGGCGGCGACGCTGCTGAAGGTGGCGCGCAGGCTCAGCGAGGAGAAGGCCCAGGCTCAGACCCAGGTCGAGCCGCCCCCCACCGCGACCACCTCGGCGGCGTCGAGAGCCCCGGAGCGCCATAGGCACCAGCTGTCGGAGGGGCAGACCCTCAGCGGACTTGAGCCGCCCTTCCCGGCGTGCACGGCGTGCTACATGTACGCCAGGACGCCCGACATGGTCTGGGGGGGCCTCGGCAGCGGCTGCAGCGGGGCCGAAGCCGAGGCCGGCCAGGGCTCGCGTGCCCAGGCCAGGAAGACCTCGAGCGGAGGATCCCCCAGGGACGAAGCAGCCGATCGGCGAGCTGCGGCCCCCCTCAGGGCGGACGCTCAGCAGCTGGAGGAACCTGGCGGGGCCGCGGCACCTTCGGCGGCGACTTGAGCAGGCGCGGCGGCCGGGGCAGCGGCGCCCCCTGGCGCGGCGGAGGCGGGCGCCCTGCGCCCTTCGCCTGCGGCCGCTCGCGAGTCGGAAGAGCTCGCCCCCCCGCCGCTGGCCAGCGTGGCGCGCGCCAAAGGCTTCGGCACCCTGGCCGAGGCGCGCGCCAGAGGCCTGGCGGCCCGAGGCGAACGCGCGGAGGCCGCCCGATCGCGAGCAGTGGACCCCAGCCAACGCGAGGTGCGGAGATGATCGGGTCCTCGGTGGCTGGGGCGCCGCTCGCGCGCCGTGCATGCACGGTTTGGGGCGCGGGTCTCGGCCCTCGAAGTTAGAAAAATGCTTTCGCAATAGGGACAATCCGGCGATCCACTCACATGCTGTCCCTGGACCACTCCCGGGGTCACTGAAGGCCGAAAAAGGCGAATCATTTTCCCGAACCCAGCGCCTCGAACCTGCCCGCCCTTCCTGCTGGCCAGAACCAGTGCTGGGCCACCTCAGACCTTCAGACGGCTGCAAAACCATGTGCGAAATCCTCGATCCTCCGATTGAGGGGAAAATGAACAACCTTTTCCCCTCTCCCGCAGTTCAAAATTGGCACGGTTACGCATCACCGCTCGGACAGCCAAATTCGGAAGATCCAAAGCCAACGTTGCGTCTGGGGGGCAGAGGGGGGATTTCAAACCATCCGTTACACATGATTGTTGCTTAATTGTTTCAGACACCTGTCGCACCTGCATCAGAAGGCGAAAACTTACCCCCACCCCCAGTCCTGACTCCCATCCCCGAGCAGGCGATTCAACGGGTCGGGACCGGGGGTGGGGTCGTTTCCTCCGTCTTTGTTGAAAACTACCTTCGCCCCCAGTCCAGACCCCCTGGATCGCGGGGTCGGGATGGGGTCGGGACTGGGGACGGGGGGGGATTTTCGCCTTCCCGCTGCAGGGGCCATGTCGCTGTCCGCCAGCGAGTTCTACGAGACGTACCACGGGCACACGGTCGGCCACCTGGAGCACCTGCACGGGGCCCTCCGCGGCGCGGGCGCTGCCCGTTTTATCGCGGCCGGGGGAGGCCGCCATCCTCTGCACTGTTCCTTCCTTAAGGGAGGGAGAGGAGGAGGAGGAGGAGGAGGAGGAGGAGGAGGAGGAGGAGGAGGAGGAGGAGGAGGAGGAGGAGGAGGAGGAGGAGGAGGAGGAGGAGGAGGAGGCCGGAGGCGGAGGAGGAGGAGGAGGAGGAGTAGGAGGAAAA